ACATATAAAACTTATACTATTGTATATTTTATATAATTGCTATTATAAATTAGATATTGTTATATAAAAATAGTTGCAATTACTGTAATTTAACTTTAATTTGTAATTATTTTTTGGATCAACCGCAAAGCACATTTGTCGATAGAAATAGATATATTATTAACACTACAGTAGTAATAACCATATAATAATTATGATAATTATAATCGAATATCAAAATATCTCACTGTCTCTCGCGAAGATAAACGATCTCTGCTTCTACTTACGCCATCGATAATTATAACCACGTGGAACATAATTATATCGTCGCGCTGACGCTAATTAATTACCGTGTTCCGTTGCCGGTTGCGGTTCACAATTTAGGAAACCAAGTAAGTAATCGCAGTGTCGTTTTCCTTGAACGTCAATGGGTGCAACCAAGTGCCAGCGGTTACGATTTAAATAGCGGCGTTATGTATGCACATGGCGTTTCCCGACGAAGTTTCCCAAGAATGCAAGCGCCGATAATTAAATCGTAGCTACGAAGTCTATAGGAGTAACGTGACTGGAAATAAACCAGGATCATAAGCATCACATTTGAAAGTCTGACAGAGAGTCAACGTTTCTCGGTACAGATTTCACGAATTTCACCACGCGGCGCGAATAATTCTTCCGTATTATTAACACGGATCGTAACGTCGTGCCAATTTCTTGTAACACTTCTTGAACGGAGACGTAAAAAAGTTGAATTATTTCGTCCAGCCGGAGTCGATATAAGTCGCTGAATAATCGGTTTTTGAATCGTAAATATTTCATCTAGACTTTTCTCAAGCCATTCCTTCTGTACATCGTTCCTTTTTCGTTTGTACTTCCGCTTTCGCTCCTTCGCTTTCACTAGCTTCCTCATCGGACTTGCATCGCTTCTTCCTTCGCGCTATTTTTCACGTCACGTGATTCGCCCTAGCCGTGCTTCGTCCCGCTTGTTCCTTTTTCAATACGAAAATATCGCAGAACGGAATGACATACGTTACAGACTTCCTTTACAAATCTTTGCTTCACAACGACCGCGTACCAGACGCGTCTCATAGCGCTCATTTTAATTTGACTCACGATTTTAGAGAACGAATTCAGCGAAAGAATTTACCGCGAAATTACAAGATGATAAAAAAATTTCATTACATAATTTCGGCTTTCTATTGAAATTTCTATTGAAATTTCCGCGTCTTTAAACATAATGTTTACGGGATTTCCATCGTACACAAAGCTTTCATCTCCCTTTGCAAATATTCCTAGAAAACGTCTCGAGGTCGCTTCTGTGAATTAAACGCTCTCGAAATATAACTCGACTACTGCATTAATAAGCAGCACGTATAAATTATGGATTATTTATGTACTATCGCATGCAACTTAAATTTTATGATTCATATTTACATTTCACTTTTATCGATGCGCATTTATCGATAAGAGTGAGGTGTAAATGTAAGATGAACCCATACATAGAATATTGCAATGTACAGATTGCAATGTAACATTGCAGAGATATTACAGAAATGTAAATTAACAATATGTTTGCAAAGTGTCAGTAATATGCTTGTAATATTCCACAAACATTGCAAAACTGTAATTCTTTAATTATTACAATAATAATATTAATATAAAAATATAATGTTTTACAATATTTATGTAATCTTTTGATTTAACAGCCGTTTTTATGATATAATAATTAATATAATTCATTTTATATTTAAATAAAAAATTTATTGATCTATTATTTGACGGTCATTTCATTAGCTAAGTTTTATATTTATTTTAAATATGAAATCAAAAGATTGTATAATATCGAGTTTGAATACAATCAATGCATTATTGGATAACATGATAAGCAAAAAATTAAACTGCCGAAAACGATTTATCGAAAATATTAATTATGTGATCGATGTATTTATGCCTGACATGAACGCAAGAATAAACCAATGCCCGAACTTTATTGATGAATTTCATACCGTCATTTTTTAATTGGTTTCAATTGACTCGGAGTGGTTTCAAATTAAAAAGAATTACTGCGATTAACTTAATTCATAATTAACTTACCAAGCGACTGTATTGTTATATTAATGTGGATAATATTTGTAGCTTGTTTGGGACACATACATGCTCTATCTTTATGAATAAATTTATCCTTCAGAATTAATACTATATTTATTGGAATATTTTATGGTTTTATCATAAAACAATTGCTTTTGGAAAGCACATATCACTAGAAATGCGATTTACAGAAAAATTAAAGTTAGTGAGATAGATAGATGTATACAAATAGTTTTCATTTTAGAGTCTTAGTAAAAAATTTATCCAAATACATTACATTGCAATATTGCTGGAACGTTTTGTTGCAATATAACAAAAAGCAAACATCTTAACATCGTTGGAATTTTGCAATAATGATTTAGCAACATTTCGCAACTACTATGCAATATTGCAATGTTTCAGTGAAATCATTCTGCAATGTTTCTGCAATCTTTCTGTGCTGTATGGGAACCTATATCTTTCTTATCTGCATAAAGTTTGAATACGTAAAAGTTAAATGCTATATCGTTTTTATTAAATGAATAATTGTGCGATTTTTGCAAAAAATACATATAAAAGTTATGATATTTTTCCTCACCTAGTCGAATGTAAGGTTTCTTTCCTTGTGTAGATCCGACAGACAGGATAGTGAGGATCCCGAAGATTATGCAGATCCTCGCCATTTCGACTCGCTCGACCCCGAACATACGTAGTTAGTGTAATCGTGGCATGGGTGACTTCCTGAAACAGAAACCGTGGAAAGTTTATTTATCTTTCCCTCTATACGTGGTGTACCGGAATAAAATAGCTCATGGACGGAAAATATCTTTCAACGATTTCTTCGCGAGCAACGAGAGCGGTTGCAACTTCAACTTGATCGCAACCACTGTGCAGAAATGATGAGAAAGGGAAGGAAAGGGAAGGGTAATTATGTAACAAATGCAAAAGGTATTTATACAGAAGAGATTTTTATTAAACAGAAGCCTCATTGGTAGAGAAAATAAATATTAAATCACAATTTATTAATAATGAATTCTGTATTAATCAAAAAGGTCTAACAAAAAAGTTTTGAAAATACTTAATCGTATTTATAATCTTAGAAGTTACTGACTGTACGAATATTTTTTATGTATCTGAATAATACAGTTTTTCATTTTTGCTTATTATTAACCCTAATCTTATCGCTTATCGCTGAATATTGCATCTAATTGTAAATTCTAAATCTAAAGCTTCTCTTCTCTTTGAAGAATGCAAGTAAATTTCAGTCTTAAGGAGAGATTGATGGAGGAAAGTTTAAAGTTTATTTTACCAACGATTAAAAATCTTATAATATCAATCGTGATTGTATAATCATCTAAAAATTTATGCTTCTAGACTAAACCCGTTGCTAAGTCGAGGATTAAGATAATATATTTTAATTATTACACGTCTTTTTAGGTGAAATAATTTTAAGAAATATACAATCTATTTTATTCTTTGTTAATAAATTGTTAATTAATGTTTACTTTCTAAAAATAAGATTTTTTTTAAAAAAGATATCTTTTTTATACAAATATTTGTTGCACTCACTGTATGTAAATAGTAAAAAGAAAGAACTGAGAAAGAAATATTCAAATATTCAGTAGTCAAAACAAACTCGTAATTATGTCGACATTAATAATAGATGAGCAAAATGCTCATTTCCTTCCAAATGCTTCCCTCCTTTTCTTCGACTGTCCGACCTCGTCGTATTTTTTCTCTTTTCGCAAGGAGAGTCTCTCGTCATTTGGCGGACGGCCAAACCCCGAAAACGCGATGCACTCACCGAGGACACGCCGACTAACAGTTATAGACACGAACACGTTGAAATACGGCCCTGAGAGTACCAGCATGCAAGTCAAGTTTTACGCACGTGCTTCCCGTCCGAGATTGACGACGTTCTTCGATTTTAATGTGACTCGAAATTATCGTTGTCAGAAATCCATATATGTATATCGATCGATTGGATATCGATATTCGTGAGTTTGATAGCAGAGAAATGATAGCGCGAGAAATGGAACCTCAGGGAGGTTTTAATACTGTTTATTCAGATACGTTATCTTTTTCTTAACAATTATAATAATTAAGAAAAAAATAACGTGACTTTAGCGTTCACCGTATCTGGATTCACGTTATTGCAAAAACTCCCTATTGAGGGATGCATTGGATCGTAAAATTAATGAATACCGAATATCGAATGTCTGGTATCTGACCGGATATAAGAAGGCAATTTCTTCGAGTCGGATATCTAACCGGATTCCGAGGAAGTATCTTCTAAAAAAAAGCTTATAGAAAAAAAGATTGTATTATATATTTGTATTACCTAGTAAAAAAGTGCCGGATTCAGGATACTTTTCGGATATCCGGTGCATCCCTATCATTAATTTTTCATAACCTTAATGAAAACATTGTACACTAAGAAAAAAATGTTTGATAGATAGTAAAATAATTATTGTTAGGAATTCCGTTTTTATAATTTACTATAATATTAGTAATAATAATCATATATATATATTTTACCAAAGAAAATATATGACACCTAAAAGATTATAAATTAGAAAATAACTATTAAGTTATAGTAATTGCTTTTTCTCTCAATATAAGATTGGATACTTACATTTAAAAGTAATATGTACAATTTATACGTAAACAACGTGGCATGAACGAAAGAAGAATTGTTACAAGAAGCGATCGAAAGTAAGCAGAACTGACAACTGAAGATGCGAGGTTTCGATATATATAACTATTTTTTGAAAATTCTCGAGATCTCAATGTCAATGCTCGATTACAACTGTTTTGTTGACACATCTGGAGTGTATTATTACAAATCAATATTATTCGATTATCGTTTCTCTTATCAAGTCTATGTTGACGATAAATCCTAATAAGCATGATTTAGCTCTATTTATTAATTTGTGTGCACTGAGAGAAAAATTGTTTGATATTTGTAACTATATAATTACTCGTACATACTATATTTACTACAGAGAAAACGATTTTGCTAAAGTATTCAATAATTTAGCTAGATACAGATCTGAAAATAATTTTGTTATACACCATCAAAATTTTTAAGTAGGATGTTCAAACTGCTAAAATATCAAATTTTGTTAACATTCTAGCAATCAATTTGAGTATCCTACTTAAAAATTTTGATGTCTAACAAAATTATTTTTATTAGGTCTGTATCTAGTTAAATTTTTGAATACTTTAGCAAAATCGTTCTCTCCGTGTATAATTATGGTTATAATTATTGTAGTATTAATAATAATAACTATATGTATAATTCTATTAATCAATATATATAGTTGGTAATTGAAAATGATTATAATTACAGTCATGATAACCATAAAAATGGTTCCCGGAAAGAATTTTCTCTTAAAATTTACTCTTAAAATAGTTAGTCAATAGTTGTAGTACAATCTAATATTTTTAAGATTTTTACCATGCATTTCAATAAAATTAATCAAATTTATTTTGTTGTATTTTATTGTAGTTATTAATAAAATGAGAGAGATATAAAATTTTTCGAAATACAATGCGTTGTCTCATGAGTATCATATTTTCAGAGTAAACTCTAAGAAAAAAATTTTCTCCGTGTTGAAATTACCATAAAAAATTATTTAAATGATTATATAATTATAGTTATTTGAATCACTTTTCATGGTAATTGAGTATAATTTGACATTACAAATTTAAGATGGTCCTTTAATAAAATGCTGAAGATTTGGGGTGTCTCATCAGGACCCAGTCAAAATTACAAAGGTCTATAATTTAAATTTGGATAAAACTATGCGTATATCTTAATGAAATATTATGGAACATGCGATAGTAAATCAAGAGCTGCATCTTCATCGAACGAAAACAAGATGAGATTATGTTTATTTTTCGAAGTTAAATTTATGTATAAGTTTATGCGTACGTAAATATCTTTCCAGAATGACCGTTGATCTATTATTTTTTTTGATCATTAAAATCGTAATTTTTTAAACTATTATAATCTTTTTTTTTTTTTTAGAAGAATTTTGCACGTCAATTTCGATACTTCAACTTCATCACATAAAGAAATTAGACATTTTTCTATGGTTTTCTCGATTTACTAAAAAAACCATCTTAATAGTGAAGCGTTTGAATTTGAAATAATTGCTATTGACCGGCTATTGACCGACTTTTGCATATCTCGAATATCTTGTAAGAGTAACTTCGATCGATGTTTTCCTCAGGACATTCTACATATGCATTTGTTTTGCCGTGCTGCCATTAACGACTGTTGAAAAGGTCGAGGGTATGCCTTCGAAGTGGATTGTTTTCTTTGAAATATCCTAACGACTACTACGTGAACACATTTCTCCTTAGAGGCTCGGTTTAAAGAATACAGGTTTGTAAGTCGAAAGACATAAAAAATGACGAATCCGGCGAACGACGATTAATATCCGACCCTTCCTCAGGGGGTCGAAGAATCTCACGGGTTCTCGATGTCTGGGACGTTCTTCGTTGGATCGAGGCGTCACCTGTTACGTCGATGAAAAAGAGAAATACACACACTCTCGCTGCTGTTGAAGTCTATTGGTGTCTGATCTTTCTAGAAGAATCACACAGCCATGAGAAGGTTTTCCCTCAGCATCCCCGAGGCAGGCCAGAAAAACGTTCGTAACGAGAGAAGGCATATCGACGCAAGCGAAACTGAAGAGAAATCGTATTCTTTTGAAAGACAATATTACAGAAATAATTTGATAGTTTGCAAAGGAAAGGCAAAAATCTGGAGAGCACATTAGGGTAAGGTCGCCTATTATAGGATTGGTTCCCAATATGAGATAGCGGGATTTCTGCTAAACTAATAAGCGCATGTGGTTGATTTTATTATGAACTTATTACTCATACAGTGAAACATATTTAGTAGAAAACTCATTATTAAATCATGCGTGTAGCTGTGGAAAAAGATTGAAATTGGATGTTGTCGAATTTTATTGAGGTTAGTCTTCAAACCTTGTTTTATTATATAATAAATAAATATTTGGTAACAAAGTCTGCATGCAATGATAGAGTAAGATCACATTAATAGAAAAACATGTGATATAATGATTTGTTTAACTATAAAAATTAGATTTGGTGATCACGAAATCGCAAGGCATGGAAGTCATAATATGAGATACTTAGGGTATTTCTAGCTAATATGAAAGCATCTAAACAATATCTCAAAGCATATTGAACGAAATATTAAAAATGATTCTATTGTTAAGATTACTCACACATACATATTCACATACACACATATCGAAAAATTATATAATTATTATGTGTAACATTCAAATTCTTTGTTTCTACTTGTAATATAATAAAAGCGTGTATAAAAAGCTTACCTTTATTTTTTCCTTAATTTTCTATTATGAGATACCATCTCATACAAAAAAACTCTTGTGTCTCGTATTAGAAACCCTTTCTTTGAACGAGCAAAATCGGCATTTTCGATAAAAAAATTTCACATACAACAAAGTATAGCTACTATCGATCGCTAACTTTTGGTAAATCTTGAATATATTTTCCATAAAATTAACACGAAAATAGGAATTAAGATTGCAAATTAAATAAATTACAAGTCTTTAAAAAAAAGTATCTCATATTAGGCGACTTTACTCTACTGTAGTGAGAGAACATACGATTTTCAGGCAGAAGAATATAAACTCCTGAAATAAATAATTATATTGTGTCGTACTTAATAACTTATT